GATGGTCGTGATTTAAATAACCTTAAGTAAAAAGCTACTGGAAGAATAAGAAAGTTCAGCCACAGACAATAGTCTGCAAGAGTGGAAAAATTGGATGGCTTTGTTTAAGAACAAAGTCATTTTGCAGGATTGCTTATCCTTGAATGATCTTACAATGGCTGAACGATCGGAAAAGGTGGGAGACGGAAATCTGTGTTAAGGATAAGCCATCAGGTACCGAAGCTGCTATGTTCTGCCTGGACGTGCAATCTTTATCAATTCCTCTTGCGTAAACTCCAAAAACACAAAGAGAGTAAATGACTAGAGGCAACAGTCGGAGTGTATTCTGCTATCAAGATGCAATAAGCAAATATCAAGTCTCAATCGGGCATACTAGAGTGACATAGCGACGCACAAATCAGAGCGCGTCATTAACACTCCGATTGGTCTATTGAACAACCGCTGTCTGATTCGTTCTACAGTCATCCAATCCGGATCGAACTTGCATTGAGCAAAGCGAGTGCACTTGCGACCGGACATGGATCTGTCCGCTGAATGACTGGTTCTGTGGGCTCTGTCCTAGCGGAGGTTGTCTCTAAAAACCCATTTTGAAAAAGGAGCTCAAGACTAAAAGCAATACAGAGTTACATTTTAGTAAACTAGACGAAGGAAATAAACTGAAAATTTGTGTCTCATCCACAAGCGTTACAAATTCTAGTTGAACTTTCTGCCGGTGTCACTTTCAGAGCCACGTGGGTATAATAAGGCTTGAGCTTTTTGAGCAAAGATATTGATATTACCATTCCCAGGTAAAACGTGTCAAAGAAACTTTGTCTGACATTAAACTACACAACAATGACCATAAGAACAACCAATGGCTTCTCTAAGATCAACAATGAACACGCTCGTGCGGTGATATTCGCCTCAAATGGGTCAGAGTATATCAACATTAACGAATTTGTTGTTTTCATCTTAAACTGCATTTACTGTTCCCCTTACAGTGGGAAAAACCATACACTGATGAAACCGGTAAAATGATGGATGCAAGAATAGTTGAGCACATCCCAAAGCCCACTCTAAGAGCAAAAACAGCCTATACAAATAAGCATAAGAATGACATGTAGGCTAACGTAAAAGATCGCATACCAACTGCTTGAGAGCGGTCACAAGTTCAACTCGAGCGATGGGTTCTTTTTCATGTAAAATCAAGGCGGTCCAAGTATGTCATATATATTTCAACAGAGAATGGAGGCGCACACTGAATTGTATAATGTTTATTGTAACGTCTCGATCCAAACTAGGACTCGTTGTCAAACGTAAATTAAATGAATGAAATAATGGGATTACCGTCTTTCCATGCGCTTGTGTGCTGTTTGTACGTCTATCAGTCCACCAATCATCACGGGTTTTGCAAGTGTGACGTGATGTTTGTCTATCTCGACGTGTTGGTCAAACGAATTGACCAAGTGCAGAGCTTCGAGGATTAATCGTTTCCCCTTTTTCTTATCTCGCTCCACAACCTTTGCGTTATCAATTGCGATCTCCTGACCTGTCCGTGAGAAAAGGTTCCAGATGTGTGACCTCGGGTCAGCGCGTCGAAGGGCAAGCTTGTGTTCGTGTAGGCGAGTGTGTAGTGTTGTATTGTATTATTATTGTATTATGACTTATGCAGGCGACTATGCCCACATTTCAGTCAAAAATGTGTTCACCGTTACAGCGGGATAAAAAATGAAATGAAAATAATATATAACAATGATGAAACTTAAATAGATGTTCATCTTTGTAAGCTTAATAATTAGGTCGTTACGGATTCTATCCGTGTCAGTGAGAATACGAAACAACTAGGGTACCGTTGAGTTGAGGTAAATATTTATGCCGGAGGGCAAGCAGCAAAAATTGGATCAGGTTGAAGCGTGGGAACGGCAACCAAATAAATTGGGATTGCGTGGATGACTGGGGTCACTGAGTATCTTTTGAGCGAAGTTCTCACATGAAGTGAGATGCCAGTTACACAGTTTTGTGATCAGAGTGTTTAAAGGAATAAGAGAAACACGGCTAATAATCACCAAACCGCGACGTAGAGTAATGAAGTCCTTTCTAAGTAGATCAGGGAAAATAACGGGCAAACAATAAAGTATGATAGGAAAAATGCATTGAAAAACAAAGGAACACAGTTTCATGCCTGACGCGAAATTGTCGTATCTTGGTTATTTGAAAAGATAAGAGACGCAGTCTACCAGCACAAGCAAGCACCTGAGAAGACCACCGTAGATTGCTATCCATGTTAACTCCTGGGTATTTCGTGGCATGTGTTCTGGTGATGGGTAAGGAATTGATGACCGAGGGATCCAGGGGTATTCGGATCGGGAAAGACTAAAAATGCATTCAAAGCATTTATAAGTATTCTGTCGGAGACCGAATTGGTTCGAAAATGATTGAAATTGCAACAAACTGTAGGAAAATGATTCTCTGTCCGATTGGTTTGAGATGGCTTGACATATGACCACACCATTGGCATGCTTGAAGGTCTTGGCTGGTGGGATCGAGGATGAGTCACTGATGAAAGTCGAAAATAGGTGGGGGGAGAGCACAGCACCCTGGAGGACTCCAGAATTATTTACTAATGGTTTTGAAGTAGTGCCGTTTGCTTTCGTCCTTTGAGTCCTTCCTGTGAAATAATCTTTCAAAAATGACAACAAGTTGGTGGGGCAACCGAATGACTCTAACTTCTGCAGGAGAAGAGATCGTGAAACGGAATCAAAAGCCGAGGAATAGTCAAGGAAAACATAATGAATCGAATTTTGAGAACTATCTAAGGATTTGCAACTAAAGTGTATCATTGAAGAGACAGCATCGAAAGTGCATTTATTTGGCTTGTATGCAAACTGGGTGGAGGGTCATTGGGAACAATAATACCAGCTTGCAAATGGGTGAGAATAGCGTGCTCTGCAAGTTTAAGTTTAGAGGAGATTATAGCGATAGGATAAAAGCGTTTAGATAAACTGCTAGAGGAAGAGGGTTCAAGAATAGGACCAATGGTGAACGGTCTCCAGGAATCCGGAATCGAACATGTGTAAATGGATTGATTGATAAAGGAAATAAACATCTCTTTGACGGAACTGACGCCATATTTGAGTAATGACTAAGAGAGACCATCGGGGCCAACTGCGTTTGTGGTTTTCGTAGTTTTAAGAAGATGATAGACCTCCTCATGAGTGACCGGGTCTATGGTAGATAGGTAATCTGTGGAGTACGGAGACAGGAAATCATTCTAAGGATAAATGAATGCAGCACTGAGGCTGTCGATGTCAACAGTTTTATTTGTTGTCCGTTTCTTCTGTCCGCAAAGCAATCTGATCCCTTGCCGTAACCATCTCCAGCTCTCAGAACCTGCTTTGCGAATGAAGCATTCAGTCTCCTGATCTCTGTTCTGATTTTCAGTGTAAGCTGTTTGACAGTGTCTGTTTGATGCATCTTGAATTCTAGTTCCTTTGTCTTCTAAGAGCTTTTAATCGCGGAGAGCATACTCTGCCAGTGTGAACAAAAACTGTTTCCATAGGATAGCATAAATTGAACATCGCACTAACTGTTTCTGTAAAATGTTTATCAGGACAGGGAGACTGTTGAACGAAAAACTATGAAGAGATGATAGCAAGAGACTTCCTCAGGAGATGGAGCCTGTCCGCTGAAAGATTCCGAATTTTCATGTTCATTTGTTTTGTATGAATAAAAGCCGGGTAAGCCAACCGAGAGTAAACCTCTGGTCTAAGATGTAGGAGACAGTGGTCAATAGACGAGATTGGCGCCTTGAGTTTGAGAGAGAAAATATTAGGATTGTCAGTAATAACCTTGTCCAAAACAGCATTTCCTCTAGTGGGTATTAGAGAGAGATCTGATAGACCGAAAGAAAGCAAAGGTTGGGTTGATCCGTGATTAAAATCAACGACAATTAAAATTAAATTATCGTCCACTAAGGGAGCAATGAAAGGAACAAATGCACCGTAGAAAGAACTAATTTCAGTTTGTGAGCAAGAAGGGGCAAAATATAGACTTGTAATAATTGTGTTCCGATAAGGAGAAAACCTAGGTCGACATGAAACAGTAAGGCAGTCAATATCATAAGAGGGGAAAACAAACAACGTTTCGGACTTGGCGCACCAACTGGGGTTAATGTAGATTATTACACCACTTCCGGACTTCTTTTTGCTTCTTCCTCTGTCTTGTCGAAAACTTGCAAAGCCAGGTATGTTGACCAGCGAATCGTCCATGTTTTCTTTGAGTCACGATTCTTATATGCATATCACACCTGTTTCTGTGCACGCGATGAGTTAGTAGATCCGTAAGTACAGCCAGTTTGCTAAACAGTGAGCGAATGTTGGAACTGATTAATGACAGAACCGTCATCTTCACAGGAGGAATGTTTGCAAGCGCGGTCTGTCGCCCGGCACGCTTTCGTTTCTTGCTCCAAGTAGAAAATTCAGTTCGGGCAAAACCATGTGAGTTGGATAACACGGAATACTAATAAATATTCTTTAACCGTAGTAATAATTCCCTGGGATACGAACGTCAAGAGAACATGACAGAAACCAAGTAATAAATTCCAATGCAACAGTGAGCACAAACGCAGCGCAGCCAATCGAAGGGCGCGCGCTCAGGCACGGGGTTGTGTAGATTACTCCTGATCGTTCGTGCTGTTCGACTCGATCCTTGCCGTTGAAAAGGGATGATCGCACGGTTGCTGGTGGTTTATTGGCGATCTTGATTCCCAACGGTCGGAGTATTCGTTCGGTGGCTTCTTACGTGTCGCGTATGTGGGGTAGCGTTATCCAAGTTCCTTCTTTTGTATGTGTTGTATGTTTCTTACCTCTGAGGCACGCTTTGATAAAACTTCTGGGATATGCGTTTGATAGGAACAGTTGGAAGAGTCGACTTCTTTCTCTTGTCCTTAACTCCGGTGTGCTACAATGTGTGTTTACTCGGCGGAATAGAGTTCGTACACAACGTTTTAAGTGGCACAAAGGATGATTGCTGTTGTATTTGAGGATGTGGTCCGCCGCGGTCGGTTTTCGGTAGAACGTGGTTTGGATTCTTCCGTCGGGTTGCCTCATGAGAAGGATGTCGAGGAAGGAGAGTTGTCCATCTATTTCTTCCTCTCGTGTGAAGCTGATACCGGGCACCTGTTCGTTGATCATTTGGTGGAACTGATCTACCGTGGAGGCTCTGAGTATGACGAATGTATCGTCCACATAACGTATCCACAGACGAGGTTGTAGGATTTCAAAGGCTTTGGCATCGAAGTGTTTCATAACCGCATCCGCAAGCAGCCCAGAGAGTGGCGAACCCATCGTATGTGCTGGTATACCTTTCCGTCGAATTGGAAATAGGTTTCCATACAGAGTTCTACTAGTTTCATCATTTCGTCCACGGAAAGTTTCGTTCTTAATTGCAAATTTTGGTCGTTTTGCAACAAGTGTCGGATACTTTCGATGGCCATTTTCTTCAGTATGTTGGTGAACAGTGAGGTCACATCAAAAGAGACCATCACTTCATCTGGTTCAATGATCAGTCCCTTGATGCGTTCCAGGAATGTAGCGCGACATTTTGCATCATTTTGGTTTGCAGGTAGGGATGGGTGTAGTAGCTGGAAGAGGTACCTTGCGAGATTGTAGTTTGGGTGCTGTTGTGGATGCGATAATGGCTCGTAGTGGTACATCAGGTTTGTGCACTTTCGGTAGTCCATAGAACCGTGGTATTGGACCTTCCGTGGGTCTGACTCGTCTTTATTATTCGTCCGTTAGTTTCTTTTTTTCCCTGAGAGTGGAAAAGGATTCAATTAGTTGATTCCTCAACTGTTTTAAGGGGTTCCCGTTGACCGATTGAAAAGTTTCTTTGTCTTTAATGAGTTGTTTTATCTTTTTTGTATATTTTGTTTTGTCCAACAGTGCGATTGCATTGCCTTTATCTGCCAGAAGAATGATAATATTGGAGTCGTTTTTCAGAGATTTCAATGCTTTTATTTCGACATCAAGAATCAGCTGCGAATGTTTCTGTTGGTTGAGCTGTTGGAATATTTTGATCCTAATTTTTCCTCTTTTGTCTTCGGGCAACGAGCAGTTTCTTAGTCCGTTCTCCACAGAGGCGATGAAGTCGGTCGGTTTGGCATTGGAATGGTTGAATTTCAGGCCTTTCATGAGAATTGCCGATTCTGCGGTTGTGAGTTGGTGTTTGGAGAAGTTGTGAATCGGCTCGGAATATCCTGAATGTGTTGCGTTTAAGTTGCCAAGTTTTCTGTTTAGTCTCACTCGGGTTTTCAAACGGTTTGCGGTTGACGTCTCTTCTATGACGTTCTTTATTTGTTCGATCTAATCTGTGTCCAGTAATTTGCTTGATTCGTTTCTGAAGTGCTCACATTGTTTGTCTTATACGGCTTTT